CGCCACTATACCCGGAGAAGGGTCCGCCGGGAGTCCGGGACTCTGCCTTCTCTTCTCGGAACCCGGGGTCCTACCGCACGTGACCGTGGGCAAGCCACTGAGTCCCTCTCTCTGCCTCGGTTCCCTCATCTGTACACAGGGCTAAGAAGACACGTGCTGGGGTGAAGTGGGGTCCCGCGTGCCACTGCTTGGCATGAGCTCAGCAGGTTGGAAGCCCCCCATAAACGGTGACCCACTGCTACTGTCATCATCAGCCTGGGGTTGGAACTCCTCGGGTGGGGAGAGAGCTGGAGCTGGGTTCCTCACCCTCCCGCCTGTTACTTTGAGGAGCCGCCTTGTCCTGACCTGACCTGTTGGACAATGGTAACCGAAGAGTCTCCGGTTGGGAGTCAGGCTGACCTTGGTTCCAGCCTGGGTGCTGAGAGACTTCCTCTCTCTTGGCCTCAGTTTTTTCATCTGTAAAACGGGGTCACTGTGAGCATGGAAGAGGTCAGGTCTCTCAGGGAGATCCAGGGTCCTCCCTAGTGTCTCCCTCTTCTTGGTGTGACAAAATGTTAAACATGAGCACAGGCCAGAAGAGACTCCAGAGGGCTGGGGAATGTTGGCCAGCAAGTTGGGAGGGGTGAAGGGTGAAGGACCAACTGTGGGCAGGAATCCTGTCAGTGCTGCTTGACCTGAGTAGGTCAGACACCCTCTCTGGGCCTTGGTCTCTGCATCTGTAGTAGTGGATCGCATGTGCTAAGGGCCCTTATCACCGCCGCCCTCTTGACCCCTGTAGCCCCTTCTCCCACTCAGGACCTTCATCTCTCCCTAAATTACTGGCTTCCTTTCTGTGGCCCCCCTCCCCATCACAGACAGCCAGAGAGGCTTTGCCATGATGAATTCTGTCACTCCTCTACTAGTGACCCTTCCATGGCCCCCTCACCATGACTCCCAGGGCAAGGCAGTCTTTTGAGACACAAAATGTGGTCCAAGGACCAGCAGCCTCTGTATTGCCTGCTGGGAATGCGGAATCTTGGGCCCCGCCCCAGACCAATTGAATCAGAATCTGTGGTTAAACAAGATCCCTGAGTGATTTGTGTGCACACGAAAGTGTGAGAAGCACTGATCTAAGCAAAACTAAGAGGGAGGAACTGTTATTATCCCCATTCTACCCTGGGGAAACTGAGGCACAGAGAGTTTAAGTAATTTGCTTAAGGTCACACAGACACTAGTGGAGCCTGGATTCCACCACACAGTCTGACTTCAGGGTTCATGCAATTAAATCATGACATTACATTGTGGGTTGTCATGGGAGGTGATGAGCTCCCTGTCATGTGAGGCAGGTGAGCAGGGGGGTGGGTGCCATTTGTCACGGATGCTGCAGTGGGGACTCCTGCCCTGGCCGGGATAGCCATCAAGTATTGGGCATCTACTGGGTGCCAGGCATGAGTCAGGCACGTTAGACAGGTTCTCTCCATTCAGCCTCAACAGTCACCCTCAGAAGCAGGCTTTAAATCCTCACTTTGCAGGAGAAGCCTATAGAGGCCCAGGGAAGTGAGATGCGTGGTCACAGTTCTTCTTGGAGGAAGAGCCAGGCACTCATCCCAGGGCTGTGACAGGTTCTGAATGGGCCGCTATGTTCCCTGCTCCCCCACCCTCAGCCCTGCCCAGATACCTCCCCTCCAGTCAGTGCCCAGAGAAGGCGGTGGCTATTTAAATCCCTCAGGTGTGGCTACAGTTCTCTCTGCCCAACCAGCTGGCATCTCTTTCTCAGCGCCCACCTCCTCCCCAAGCCAGGGAAAAGCACGTGCATTTGCCATTTGGTAAAACATCTGTCCTCTTGAGAAGCAGCCCCAACTGCCAGCAGGGGATGGAACAAGGCTAGAATCCTCTGCCCTCTATTTCTCCAGGGGGACCACAGGGGAACTGGCCCAGGCCAGGGGAGGTCTGAGGAGTGACCACCATTGGTGGTGGAGGGGGAAGAACTCAAGATCTTGTCCTGGGCCTGCCACAGTGGCCTTGAGCCTGCCTTGTCTCCTCCTTGGGCCTCAGCTTTCCCATCTGTTGATGGGGATAATGAAGAGACAAGTATTGCTGACTTGTTATTCGGTCCTCCTTACATCTAGTCTTCCCAGACTCCCTATGAAACTGATACTCCCTATGTCTCAGGACAGAAAACTCATCACCCCAATTTTGCAGATAAGGAAACTGAGGCTCAACCTTGTCTCTTGCTCCCACAGGTCACATAGACCCCCTCTCCCCAAGGTTCTACCACTCCGTCCTTAGTCATCAGCCCTGCCTTTTTCACACCTACTCCATCTTCAAGGTGGAGCATTTTTCCAAGCTCCCAACGAAGAGCAGGGGAAAATCCCCTACTCATTTTACTCCCCTGGCTCTAGCGCAGGCCGGCACTCTGGCCACCTGCACTGTCGGACCTATCTTTCCCGGACGCTGGGTGGTTCCCGGCAAGTCCCTCACTGCTCAGCCTCACTTTCCTGACACTCGAAATTTGTCTGCTGTAGGAATGCAATTGAGGGGAGGCCAAGGGGGAAATTTCCTTCAGTTCAAAGGGCAAGGATTCTTTTTCCCTCATTAAAAAAGCAAACTGTATGTTCAAAGTCACATTTATGGGAGAGTGAACGGGAGAGTTGCTCAATTATAGGAAGAAAAAATGTATGTATAGTCTTTTTTTCCTACCTGGTCCTAGCCCTTTGTTATATTTCACCGCTCTTTTGAATATCCTGCTAACTGCCTCAAGTTCTGTGGAGAAGGAAAGTGTGGATATAAAGTGAAAATCACGATCCTGAGGACACCCCACCGCTTAATCAGCTGCCTCTGGCTGGGCAGGGCCCTGGAAGGAGGTGGGAGCTATTGGCCCGGGCTCCCGGGACTCCCTTCGGGTTCCTGGGGGCCGCTATGGCTTTCTCTGGTCTCGGCAGCAAGTGGACGCTCCCCTCGTGGAAGGAATGAACCCTTCCCAGGCAGCCCCGAGCCCGAGGTCCAGCGCCCGCCCCACCCCGCCCCCGCAAGAGGCGTGGACGAGCCTGTTCCCTAATAGAATGGGGGTGGGCTGAGGGCAACCTTCCTGTGGTTCCGCCTCAGGTGTTCTGGAAGCTTCCCCCTCCCCACTCCCGCTCAATACGTTTTGAGTGACACACGGCAGGGCCTAGTATGCGCCCCATTTTTACCTGGCGGGAAACCAAGCTTCCAAAACCTCTCTTCCACTTTCAGTCCCAAGCACATTTATTGAAGACCAGCTGTGTGCCAGGCGCCTTGCAGGTTGATTGTAGGTGCAGACTTAAGGAGCCCCTGGGGCACCGTGGGAGGCGGGTGCCTGTGCATGCATTGGATATGGCGCAGAGGAGAGAGTAATTACCCTGGGCTGGTGGGGGGGAGTCATGAGGGAGAACTGCAGTTAGGAAGGCTTCAGAGGATGCCAAAGCCAGGCATTGAAGGATGAGTAGGAGCTTGTCTCAAGGACAGAGCCTGGGGGAAGAGAGTAGAGTGTCCCAAGTAGAAGGAACTACATGCGCAAAGGCGCAGAGATACGTATGATACCACTC